AGGGGGGAGGGGTTATGATAGTATGTATGGCGACTTTGGCTTTGGAGTTAGGAACGAAGGAGGTACTTCATTATTGGACTGTGCTAAAGCCTTTCATTTGGTGATTGCCAACTCGTATTTTTCGAAAAGGGAGGAGCACTTGGTTACATTCCGGAGTTCGTTTGCTAAGACTCAAATTGATTATCTACTCATCCGGAAGTGCGATATGAGTCTATGCATAGATTGCAAGGTTATACCAAGCGAGAATCTCAAGACTTAGCATAGATTATTGGTGATTGACTTAAAGATCGTAAGGAAGAGGAGGAAGAGGGTCGTGTATGGTCAACCCAGGATCAGGTGAGGTGCTTTGAGTAGTGACNGGGGAGGGGAAGGGAGTTGTTGGCTATGGGAGCCGCAGTAGGGACGCGAGCTGTATGTGGACCACGATGGTGGAGTGTATTGGAGTAGTTGCGAGAGAAGTTTTAGGGGTCTCAAAGGGTTTCTCTGGCAGCCACAAAGGTGACTAGTGGTAGAGTGGGGAGGTACAAGAGAAAGTGGAAGCCAATCCAACGGTGTACTTGACGCTTATAGAGAGCATGGACGAGGAAGCGAAGAGGATATACAAGGAGGGGTATAGGTGGGCTAAGAAGGAGGCGAAGTTAACGGTTACTGCGGCTAAGACTGCGACGTATGGGTGTTTGTATGAAGAGCTTGAGGCCAAAGGCGGGGACAAGAAGATATACGGGCTAGCCAAGGTGAGAGAAAGGAAGGCCCATGATCTGGATCAAGTTAAGTGTATCAAATATGAGGAAGGTAGAGTTTTGATGGAAGAGGCTCAGATTAGATGAAGATGGCAGACCTATTTTCATAAACTCCTGAACGAAGAGGGTGATAGGGACATTGTGTTGGGCGACTTGCAGAACTCCGAGATGCGCCGAGATTTCGGGTATTGCAAGCATAAGAGTCGAGGAGGTCAAGGGGGCTATGCGTAAGATGCACATGGGTAGTGCTACCGGGCCAGATGAAATACCTGTTAAATTTTGGAAGAATATGGGTAAGGCAGGTTTGGAATGGCTCACTAGGTTGTTCAACGTCATTTTTAGGACGAAGAAGATGCCCGATGAATGTAGGTGGAGTACGATAATTCCTCTGTATAAAAACAAGGGCGATATCCAAAGTTACAATAAGTATAGGGAGATTAAGCTACTAAGCCATATTATGAAAGTTTGGGAGATGGTGGTTGAAGTGAGGGTGAAGACCAGTGTGTCCATTTCTGAGAACCAGTTCGATTTCATGCCAGGGAGTTTGACTATGGAAGCCATTCACATTGTGAGGAGATTGGTGGAGTGATATAGGGAGATGAAGAAGGACTTGAACATGGTGTTCATTGACCTAGATAAAGCATATGACAAAGTCCCGAGAGAGGTGCTCTGGCGATGCTTAGAGGCTAAAGGGGTCCCAGTAGCCTACATTAGGGTGATTAAGAACATGTATGATGAAGCTAAGACTCGGGTTAGGGCAGCGGGAGGAGACTCGGAACACTTTCCGGTTATGATGGGGTTGCACCAGGGATCAACTCTTAGTCCATTCCTATTTCCTTGGCGATGGACGCATTGACGAGACACATTGAAGGTGAGGTGCCATGGTGTATGTTATTTACTGATGACAAAGTTTTAATTGACGAGACGCGGGGTGGTGTTAACGAGAGTTTGGAAGTTTGGAGGCAGACCCTAGAATGCAAGTTCAGCAACGATAAATGGAGTGAGAGTTCAGCAACGATACCCAGGAATGAGATATGGAGGTAAAGCTTGATACGCAAGTCATCCCCAAGAGAGGTAGTTTCAAGTATCTCAGATCTATAATATAGGGTAACAGGCAAATTGATGAAGATGTCACGCATCGTATCGGAGCAGGATTAAGTGGAGGCTCACTTCCGGTGTCTTGTGTGATAAAAATGTGTCGCTGAGACTTAAGGGTAAGTTCTACAAGGTTGTAGTTAGACCGAATATGTTGTATGTAGCAGAGTGTTGGCTGGTCAAGAACCCTCATACCCAAAAGCTAAAAGTAGCTGGGATGAGGATGTTGAGGTGGATGTGTGGGCATACCCGATTGGATAAGATTAAGAATGAAGTTATTCGAGAAAAGGTAAAAGTGGCCCCTGTGGAGGATAAGATGCGGGAGGCGAGGTTGAGATGGTTCGGGTATGTTAAGAGAAGAAGTATAGATGCCCCGGTTAAAAGGTGCGAGCGGTTAGCCTCGATGGGCAGCATGAGGGATAGAGGTAGGCCTAAGAAGTCTTGGGGAGAGGTTATTAGGCGGGACACGGCGCAACTGGAGCTGACTGAGGACATGGCCCTAGACAGGAGGGTGTGGAGGTCAAAGATTAGGGTAGAAGATTCGTAGGTAGTCGATTGTTCGCTAGCATTAGTATTAGTATGATATCTTTTATTCATAGATGGCTATTACTACCTAAAGTTTGACTGCATTCTTAGATTCAATCTTATTTCATCTTGGTGTTATTCCTACTTGTTGCAATTATCTTTTCTTTTTCAGTCGTTCTCTAGACGAGGGTCTATCGAAAATATCCTCTCTGCTTTCTAGGGGTAGGGGTAAGGCTGCGTACATCTTACCCTCCCCAGGCCCCACTTGTGGGAAACTACTGGGTTTGTTGTTGTTGTTGTTGTTGTATGAGGTTGTAAATAATATTTTACTAGTATTTTTAATTAAATAAATAATTTCGTAGAATATCAAAGGACTGTATTAAAATTTATATCCAAGTTTTTTTTGTTTTAATTTTTCAATTTACAGTTAATTTGGCTATCCTGAGATGCCTTTTTAACCATAGAAAATTACCATATTTATCAAAAGTCATAATCAGTATTTTCAGAACCCCATTATTCATTATTTGACCTTTTTAATAAATAAAAATAATTTATATTATTTCCTTGTATGGTGACACTGAGAATATAGTAACTTTTGTTTTCAAGTTTTCAATTTGTTTATTTCAATTCTCAAACTTTTAATAGAATAAATATTATAGAACTTTGAATTAAACTACTCATATTTTTATCTTAGTAAATATGGGATTTGGGAATTGATTTTGGCATAAATAATCCCCTCTTTATTTGCAACTCTCTAATCACTCCATATTCAATACTATCATTTTGTCCCCAATTTCTTTTCTCTTTTCTCTTACGCTCTCTTAGTCTCACATTCTCAAAAGTTGCTATTATATATTAGTACTTATTATCAATTATTCGGTATTTGGTTTCAGAAATTGAAGTTGGAATTTAAGAAAGTAACTACAAAACGGGTCCACTCAAGTTCCGATCAGTTATTTTAATTTCAATATTTTGGTACATTCGTTCCCTTCTTTACGTTTTTAAATATTATTTGTTATTTTGTGTTAATTTTAGCTTTTGTTATTTGTGCTAGTTGTACTTTTTATTATTATTTGTGTTAGTTGTATTTTTTTTGAAATTCAATGGCATCTTCTTCTCATACTAATAATTTTGGTAGAAAAAGAAAAGATCTGGTTAGTGGAGAAAAGGAAATACAAAGAATTGAAACTACAGATCTTGATTTGGATAGCATACCATTAGATGATGTTACTGATAATTTTGACATGGAGGTAGAAGAATTAGGAGGTACACAAGTAGAAGATGTAAGTGGTGCTAGTAAAAAACGTAGTCGTAGAAGAACCTCTGAGGTATGAAAATATTTTGATGAAATTTATGCAAAAAGATATATGGTTAAAAAACATCCCAATATTTGGAAAGATCCTAAAAAAGAGAGTTTAGGTTCTATTCAAGGTACAATTGACCCTACAACCGGTAAGACATTTTCTTACTGTAAAAAGACGGATAGGATGGAATTTGCAAAATTCATAGCTGGAGATGCTTTACCTTTTACTACGGGCCAAAGTTCTGGACTTCGGAATTGGATTACCAAGGCACATAATCCTTTATATGCTCCTATTCCTAGAACAACAGTTAGACATGATATCTTTTCTGACTATACTAAATATCAAAGTACTTTACGTGAATTATTTGGTAGCCTTAAAAGTAGAGCTTCATTAACTTCTTATATTGGTCATGCTGAAAATAAGTTAGGTTTTTTAACTCTTGTTATTGGATTGACCATGATTGGATTATGCAAAAAAGAATTTTAGCTTTTCATGTTATTGAAGAAAATAAAACTGGACATGCTATTTCAAGAATGCTTTTGCAACAAACTTCTTTTTATGGTCTTTGATTCTAAGGTGCTTTCAATTGCATTTGATAATGCTAGCAATAATGATAATGCTGTTAAAACTCTAAAAAGTGATTGGGTACAAATTTTTCTGAATATTTTCATGTTAGATGTGCATGTCATATTTTAAATTTTATAGTTCAAACTAGCCTTACATGTTTTGAAAACCCAATTTTGAAAATTAGAAATGCAATTACATTTGTTGTTAACACTATTTATGGAGTACGAATTCACAATATTTCTGTAAGTGTTCCAACTAGATGGAATCCCACATACTCAATGTTAGCCCGAGCAAAACATATAAACAACCACTTACTGATACATATAATGCTTTTATTGAGTCGAACGATGAAGAAACAACTATATCTGATAGTGACTGGGAAATAATAGACAATATTATTTTATTTTTGGAAAAATTTTACACTACTACTTTGTATTTTTCTGGTTCATATTATCCTACTATGAACACTATTTTGCCTTATTTAGTTGAGATTGCTTCATTGTTTTATAATTTTAAGAATTATAAACTTATTGGACTTTTTATTCCTGGTATGAAAGAAAAGTTTAAAAAATATTTTCTTCCTATTCCCGATATTTATCAAATTGCTATTTTATTTGATCCTGTCATGAAATTAGGTAGAGCGCAACAATTAATTGATTTGTTATATACTTATTTAGAAGTTGAACCTACATTTTATCCAAGTGTTAATAGCGTTAAAGAATATATTTCTAGACTAGCTAATGCTACTTATGAATTGTATCATAATAATCTTGATGGCGCTAGACCACCTTTGCCGATTAGCTCTTCCTCAACTTTTAAACGCTTAGGTGGTCTTGGCATTTGGAGTAAGATAAACAAACAACCTACATCATTTGGTCACTTTAACGAACTCATTTGTTATTTGCAATAGGATCCAATTAACGAGGATGATGACTTCGATGTCTTGAAATGGTGAAAGGATAGTGCAAAGTAGTACCCAGTGGTATCTGCAATGGCTCGTGATTTTTTGGCAGTTCCGATTTCAACAGTTGCTTCTGAAAGTGCATTTAGCCAAGGAAAAATACAACTTGGAAAGCGAAGATTATCTTTAAGTCCTCGCACCTATGTCCTCGTTACTTTTAGAGATTGGTTATATGTAGAAAGAAGAAATCAAGGAAATATAAATTAAATGACGACTCGCACTCAATTGAAGATCTGACCACGTCTGATGTTGAAGGAATGTATAGAGTAGCTCATGAGAATTAGAGTATATTAGAATATCATTTTTCTTATGTATCAGACTATTAGTTATAAAAATATATAGTCGAATTCCATATGTTTCTCAAGTTTTAATGTTAATAAAGTATAATTTTTTTTTATTTTTATTCTAATTGGCTTCAAGAACATGTAGTAATTTCAAGTTCGTATATATGTATAAAAGTTTAAAATTTTATCATTTATTAGTTTTTTGAATTAAATTGAATTCGGTCCATTAGGGCCCGGGATAAGGGTTTAGGGGTTACGGGTCTGGGTCGGGTCAAGAGGTTTTGATTAATGGGTCAACTCCGGACCGGCCCCTATAAGAAAGTGAACAGGACCGACCCCTATAAGAAAGTGAACTGGCCCTGTCCGGTTAAGGACCCACGGGCCAAGAGTCAACGGGTTCGGGTCCAGGTTGGGTCGACCCATTTAACAGGTCTAGTAATAGTACGTGCATTCATTGAACTTCTTGGATTTGGCTAATTCTATCTGCATGCTTAGACCATGGCAAATACACTCGTCACCATACATATACTTCGCCCCCAACACACTTAGCACGTCGCAATAGACCCAAGTACAAGCTAATTCCCTTAAATTAAGGTCGGCCAAGACATTTACTTCTTTCCAGAATAAATCAACTCTCCAATACCACTTTCCTTTTAGAACAAGTCTTCACACAACTCGAATTTAGTCAAATAATACTCAAATAAGTCAGAGCTTTTGGAATCATCCTCATATCAAAAAGGTTCGATCTTTACCCAATTAAGAAAAGTCAACCCGAACCCACATGGTCAAAATCCGAAATCAAGACCAAATCCCGATAGCTCATTCATTCCCGAGTCCAAATATGTAATTTATA